CAGTCTTGCGAGGAAAAGACGTCACAGGGGAGAAGCTAGACACGACACACGGGAAGAACAGGCTCAACAAAGCGAGACTCCACGGGGAAAGATTGACAATCAAAAAGTATCTATAAGCATGTTGTGAAAAACTTGGGAGAAAACCACTTGAACAACCCACTGTATAGGTCAAAGTATAATTATCAGCTGGAGAAGTCTACTGTCATGACTTGTAACTTTAATTGAGAATACTTTTGCCAAAGTATCTACTGTTAAATCTTGTATGGAATCTGCTGCCGATATTCTATGTTGAAGTCGTTGGAGAAATACTTCTGACGAAGTCTTCTGGAAATCTACTGTCGAGATTAGCCAGGAAATGAAATAGAAATACCTACTGTCGAGGTCTTCTGGTAATCTACTACCAAGATTAACCAGGAAGTGTAAGATGTCTTAGTGATTGTTGAAAAGGATGAAGTAACCTCCCCACGCCTCATGGTCTGGATGCCATGAACGGGTCTCAGTTCTGAAAAACGCCTCCCCACGCCTCATGGTCTGGGTACCATGAACGGGTCTCAGCTGTAGATTTTGTAGTAGATGTTATTGTAGATGTCGACGTAAATTGTAGAACTTTGTAGATATAATTTGTAGATTGTAGATTGTAGATGTAATTTGTCAATGTAGATGCAGTTTGTTGTAGATGTAGAACTTTGTAAATGTAATTGAGATTGTAAAACTTCACCGGGGATCTTCAGAAGAGATGTGAGCCGGTTGAATTGTAAAGTATGTCTTCTTAAATAAAGAGAGACTAATTGTAATAAGCTTCCTCGACTTCTCTAGGGAGATGTCGCTTGATGGAAATAAGTTTGTGTGATGAACTCGCTGGGGAATACATTCCTGAGGAGCATCCTAGCTGTGTGAATTCTCAAATAAAGAGAAATGTCTGTAAGGTTCTTCCCTTTACCAAGTCGATAATCACTGGGGATGGACAAACTTTCTTGAGGAGATTGTCATCTGTCGTTTTGAATAAGATCCTGATCAAAACGAGTTGCTCAAATAAAGAGATGGCTTACAATTCAGATGTAAATGGTTGAGGAAGTCTGATAATACTGTTGGAGAAATGTTTGTCTTCGATAGTTATCTTCATAAAACTCTTCCTGGGAAGCCGAGTGCAAAATAAATGCACATTGAATCCAATATTCAAAAGTTGGAGATGTCCACAATGTGATTGCCAAGGACCGAAATTCAATTCAGGAAATAACTGAAGAGAAACTGTCAAGTAAGACTCGACCATCGAGGTATGAGCTCAAATGGGAATTTAACTAAAGCAACCGTCTTCCACGAGGATCGAACTCTGTGGGGAAATGGAAATATGATGCTTTTTATTGCTTAGGGCTGACAACTCTAATTGGAAGGAGAAGACGCGCCCAACCACTCGGGGACAAACACGACCGAAGCGACAGAACAAACGAACACAAAGATGCAAAATGCACATGCCGTGCCATCTATCTATATGCTATGCGTATGCTAATGCTGACAAAACAAAAGAACAAAGGCAAACAGAGATGAAATAAACATCTCGAAGCAAACATCCGACCAATCTTCAAAGATAGAAGTACCACTGGGGATGGGTGGAGAACCAAATACGGGATCACACTCTTACTTCAGGGTATTAAAACTCATATGGGGAGTAGAGAATATTCCACTTGAGGATATAACGTCTTGATCAATCTTGATTATCCTGTTGAGGATGAGAATGAAGATCTACCAGGGGTGGATCAAACTCATAGCTGTAGAGACTTCATGGATAAAATAAATATCCGCCTTAGTGGAGAGATTCAAATTGGAGTTGCAGATGGAGATACCCGAATCGAGATTTCACAAGGGATAAAACAAATATCCATTTCGATGGGGAAACCTTTGTCATCATAGCTGTTGAAAATATTGTAGAAACTTCACGGGGATGAAATAAACATCGGCCTTGCTTGGGAAGATTAACATTTGTACACGATCCACCGGGGAGTACAGTAACATACACTTCACTGAGAAGGTAAAGTTGAGAAGATTCCTTGAGGATTAAAATACCAACTACTTCATTGGGGAAGTGAAGTTAAGCAAACCATTGGGGAGATCTCGGGTTACCAACCAGAGATTTCTTGTATTGAAAAGATTCATCGGAGAAAAGTCATGACCACCGGAATTAAAATTTACTGGGAACATGAAGATTGCTGAAAATTTGTATTGAAGACTGCATGGTAGTCGCCATTTGAATAATAGTTCGTTAGCCATGAATAAGATAATCTTCGTTTCTCAGATGCCCCGAGTTATAGTTATGAAAAGAAGTCATTCTAAGAGGATTTTACAGAAAACATGACGTCCAAATGCCTCATTGTTTTCAAACTCCTAGAGAGATTCATCGAATCTCGACGTAACTGGCCCTGATTGACGGTATTATGACTGAATCTTCAAAAATAGCTCTTTAGGTGAAGTCAAATATGCCCAGAATAACCATTTAGAAAATAACCTGCCCCAGGTTAGCGGAATTCTCAATCTTCATCATCGGTGCCCGTATGTAATCTTTCTAAGATATCAAGCGAAGTTAGCAAGTCAGAAATGTTAATTCTAAAATTATTAATGCAACATACATTTGTCTTGAAGTTTTGAAAAGAGATATCACAATAACTGGTGACCGAAATCACTAGTTAGGATATAAATTTATCTTTATAAAGCCAATATAAAAGCTGAGCATAGCTCACAGGAGTCAGGAAATGTTATCTCACTGAGTATGCTTTCGAAGTAAACTTTACTTCAATTAGGACTTTTGAAAGTTGTATTAGGGCTTAGTTTACGATTGGTAAAACAAAGGAAATAAGGGTCAAAGCTTATTTGTACCCAACCATTTTTGAAAGACGTTCACTTTTTTTGAAAGGTTTTAAGTGTTCAATCGAGTTGACTGAAAATTGCCCCAGGTTGAAAATGAGGTTGAAAATGGTTAAAGAGGAATTAACCGCTTTATATCCTTGGTGTTTAGGAGGTTTGAAAAAAAATGCCTTATATCATCAGCGGGTTTTATTCAAAAGCATACATCAAGAGACCTGACGTTTTACTTCGTCATCCTCCTTCCAATTCTCCACCAAAGTGAGGAAAGATTGGGTAAAAGTCGACATTATAAAATTATGAAGAAAATTTTACGAGTGAAACGAATGGATTTCTTCAAGATAAACACTTATTGCACTACTTATTCAAAATAACAAGTTCTTACATGCCAATTACGCTTTTAATCAAAGAAATAAAAAGTAAGTACGCATAAGCAAACAAAATAAACAGCTGATGAGCCCTTCTCAGTATTTTCTGGAGTTTTCACTTATATCAGCATAACGGTATTCCATTTATGACCGGGCTTTCTCCTCTGAAAGTCAGCACTTCGTCATCTATCATTTCTTGGACTTTCTCTTGAAAAACTTTGCACTCTTCAATCGAATGCCCCAACACTCCATCATGGAATTCACAGCTGGCGTTCGGGTTGAACCACGGTGGGCGAGACTTCATGATTCTAGTCTTTCTGGGTGTCATTACTGAGTTTCTAGCAAAATAAGACCATAGTTGACTATAAGTCATTGGGATAAGATCAAACCAGCGTGTTTCTTCTTTCGGGATATCCAGAGGTGTCTTTTGATTCTGAAACCGTCTTCGAACCTGTCGATTCTGATGTTGATTTGGAGAAGTTAATCTTCGTTTATGTGGTAATCGCTGTTTGCGTTGAGCAGGCGCCACATACTGATGTTGAGGATAAGGTTCTGGAACCGACAAGATTTGAGAGGAATCCCAAACTGCATTAACATCAAAGCTTCTTTCCTCTTGGGAATCATCAACTGGAATTTCTTCATTAGCTTAGTTATTCAAGTTATCTTGAATTCTTCCACTTTTGAGTGCATTCTCAATGTTTACTCCGACTTCCACAATTTTGGAGAAGTCTGATGGCACAACGCCTACCATCCTAACATAATAAGAGTCTGGTCGTGTTCTTAGAAACATCTTGGTTAAATCCTTCTCTGGAAGTGGTGGACGAACTTGGGCTGCCAACTCTTTCCATCGCTGAGCATATTCCCTGAAAGATTCATCATCATTCTTACTCATTCCTTCTAGTTGATCACTGTCTGGAGCCACATCCAAATTATAATTGTACTGCTTTACAAAATCACCAGCTAAATCCCTCAAAGACTGAATACAATTCCTTTGTAGCTTTATGTACCATATCAAGGATGCCCCAGATAAGCTTTCTTGAAAGCAGTACATCATCAATTCGTCATCGTCAACATAAGCAGCCATCTTTCGACAAAACATCGTCAAATGGTATCTTGGACAACCAACACCCTTGTACACTTCAAAGACAGGGTTTTCCTAGAATTCAAAACAAAGACAAGCAACAAACGGCGAAATCAAACCAAATCAAAGTCCATGTATCAGAGCGTATTAGATAGAGAACGAATTTACCGATTTAAAAGGGGTGCCGGCCTGGATGGTTGGTGGTTGATGCAAGCGGTGGATGTCGAAGGTTTTGACTGTGATGTTACGGTGGCAAGGGTCTCGATTGCGATTGGGTCGCGGTTCGCAGACGGCAAAACACGCAAGATAAGTCCTCTTCTTTCTTTGGTTTTTTAGTATGTTAGGGTTTTGAATTGGGATTTTCTGTGAATTTCTCGTGGATTCTGGCTGGGTTCTGAGTGTCTTTCATTCCGAATTTCCTCCTCTTTTATAATGTCTCGGAGGAATTTCGATTTGAATTTGATTTAATGGTGATTTCCTATTTCGTTCCAACATGTCGGAGCATGTTTTGAAAAATCTGATTTGCTTTAACTCTCTGAAAATGAACTTCCAAATTTGTGTATTCCTGTTTTGGCAAGTTTGAATTTTAACACGTGCTTCTCTTTTACGCAGAATACCGATGTTGGATGTTGTAGTGATATCTCCTTCCATCATCAGCAGCATGCTCATTGCTAGTCACTTCAGTACTATTAGATTTGTCAACCGCGGCGGGGAAAACAACAGGGTATAAAATCCAAAGAAGCTGGCCTGTTGGAACCAAGTTTTGTGACAAATTGATTTGAACATGTTCTCGTCCTCTGTGGTGGTAAGGGTCTGCTGTTATGATTATTGAAAGGAACACTGGGGGTTACTTCTGACTTCTCAGTTATTGAAGAAGCAACATGCTTAAAGCCTTTACTTATCTTTGACTTATCACCTTTCCCCTTTGAACCATGATAACTAGTTACATTGTTTGATGGCCCCGGTTGAGTAGAAACAGGTGGTTTAGGATGAACACTGGTAAAGTCCTCCTTTCTAATTTGTTTCACATTGGAAGATTTGATGTTGCAAATGGCCGAGAGGGGTTCAACCATACAATTTTTAGAGTAGCTTAGTATCCCCATCCCATCTGATAAAAGAAGCTTACCATGAACTAAATCAGAAATGAAAATAACCGCAGCAATACCAGCCCGATAAAACTGATCACTATCAAGAGGCGGTAAGTGTGTAACATGATTTTGAAAATCATCAGCCATAGAAGCATATTTTACAGAGTCCGATTTACTTGATCGGCAAGAAGTAAAGCTAACTTGTTGTACACTGCCAGCACCCTGAACCTTGTGAGAACCTGTTCCATTTTCCTGGTTTCCTTCTACTTGATATGGAGTATTCGATACTATGTAGGCTGGGTTCGGCGCAAGTAGACCTTCGTTCTTCCTCTGTTGTCTCATTGACACACATGTTTCGTCTTCGTGGCACATGCATGAATTGGCATCTGGTGCATTACATCTTGTACCACCAAGGAAGAAGCTCCTAGCAGTGCTCGAAAGTGTATTGGTTGGCTTTGATCGTAACATATTCTGCATCTTTCAGCAAGTTTGTGGAAGCATAAAAGGATCGGCCAAAATTGTAAACACAATCACCAACTGTGATAAAGACGGTAGAGACTTTGAAGTTTGCATTACTCAATTTCTTGACTGCTGCTGGTTGCGCGCAAACCCTTCACATATAGCATCATCTTGCCACTTTGAGTTAAAATGTTTTCACACAACTAATGCATTCACTTACCATTCTTATGTATACCTGATACTCAGTATTTGCATTAAGAAACTCTTGAAGTTTATGTTTTTATAGGCTGCTTTTGAGCATATGTCTGAGATGCACCAGAACAAATTCAGCCAGCTTGTGCCGTTTAATGGTAGTCTGTGCATCAACAGAATCCCCAGTTTTCTTTGTGCTTGGAAAATGCTAAAGAGAGACAAGACGACATCATTGATAAGCTCCAGGTTAAAATCAACATTACTAATATCGTCCAATGCCGTAATCCTTGATAAACTCATCCATATGCTTATAGTTTTGAAATCTCAGATCGTCAATGCTCTCAGTTACTGCCAATGCTAAACACAAGAAAAATCAAGTTTTCCTTCAGATTCTTCACTTCCTGGCCTGTTGTCCATGCTATTGAGAAAGAGTTGGCTGGTCGTAGAAACTGGTGCAGCAGGAGTACCGTCGCTGGAACTTGATGCGTAACGACGGTGAAGTTTGTCACTACATTGTATTTGCCGTTGGTATGTCTTAAATTGTGTCGAAAATTATAAATATCTGTCATGCTGAAATGATGTATTCTCTTGCACCTATTTGTGGTTTGGCTTGCATAATTCATAGTTTTCTAAATAATTTGATCACGTTTTGCCCATTACTTGAATTGACTCAATGACTTACTAAATTCATTCACTTTTCTTATCAGGTTATAAAGGAATCAAAGTGACAAGTTGCAGCTTAGCATTGACGACATGTCTCGGCAGTACCGCGGTTTAACTGAGTTTGGTCCTGCTTTATGAATGTGCTGCAATTTCCCTTTAGGCTAGGCTAGGCTTAATTCTTTGAATTGTAAAGAGCACCAAGTCTTTTATTTCTTGTACATGACCATGGTTTTCTTATGACCATCCTTTGCATTGTATTCCTTATAACACTTGAATTTGTTAATTGAATTTCTGAGTTTTTTTGCATTTGGAGTGTTTTAATTGGAATGAACCTTACGAATCTTCAAAGTTAAAACCTCCTGAACCTCAAGAGAAACGCCGACTATATTGACTCGTGGAGTTTGAACATCAAGGCCTGAAATGTTGGTGTTTAATCTTGAGACCATATCCTCAAATGACTTAAACTTGTGCTTAAACTTTATTTATAACAGCATAACATAAATCATTGCTTGTATTTCGAATCTTCAAAATCCGGTATCATGGCAGCTTGAGTTCAAGAACAATAAATATTATCTCGGACCTTAACCATATGAATCCATAACTTTACTATTAACTTGCACGCCCTGACTTCTAGGAGTTTAAATTTGTAAATCTGTAACCTTTTGCGCTTGAGTCATGATACCGAGTACGTGTGGATCCTAATGAGCTTATGACTTGAGTAACGACCAAAATTCCTCTCATGATTTGAATTTAAATACTGGACCGAATTAAAGATGAATTTGATCATAATAGACAACTCTTGACAACAAAATGGCATAAATCCCAATCTATGAATAATAGGCCCTTATATGTATCACTTCGTGATTCCCTAAACTTCCAGTAGTAACCTGTCTTTCACAAAACAAAACAAACAAGTTGGTTTAAACGGTTAGCTGTGCCTAATGATTGACTTAAATGATATGCAAGAAAAGTTCCCAAGGAGGTGGGATCTTTAAGGTCAAAAATTAGGGTGCGACACTATCGACTCGGGGGTCGAGAATAAATCAAAACAACAAGTCAACTCGGGGTTGAAGAAATAAATCAAACTACCAACGCGGGGGTTAAGGATACAACAAAATATCAACTCGAGGGTTGAAGAAACATTAAGATAAATATCATTAACTCGGGGGTTGAAAAAAGGTAAAGGCAATAACATCGACTCAGGGGTCGAGAAAATAAAGACAATATCAATTCAAGGGTCGAGAAAATAAAGACAATAGCAAGATATCAACTTGGGGGTTAAAGAAGATGTAAAGCAAATATCGACTCGGGGGTCGAGAATTGTAATAAGATTCTGACTTGGGGGTTGAAGAGAATAAAGATAACAATGACTCGAGGGTCAAGACAAGTAATAAGATGTCAACTCGGGGGTTGAAGAGGCAAAGGCAAATATTGACTCGGGGGTCGAGAACAAATCAAAACATCAATACGGGGGTTGAGGAAATAATGATAATAATGACTCGGGGGTCAAGTACAAATCAAAATATTAACACGGGGGTTGAGTACGGAAAATGATTATGATACATATGCATATGGCGTATCTTAATTTTATATGATGCATATGTGAATGCAAGCAGGGGATTGGTTTTTAAGGTGCCAATAGGGTGGGCATTTAGTAGTTGCCAATATGGATTGGACTTTGAGGGGTGCCAAGCGGGGTTGGACTTTGGTTTATGATGATTCCAGTAGGGTGGACTTTATTTGGTTAAAGGATTTGACTTCTCGACAATCGGTCTTGGATGATGCTATGATCTATGGACAAACACAGATGCTCTTGGTGCCCCAAGTTGGATCCTTTGCAGAAGTTGTGTACTTGTTCCTATAAGAACCTCGACTTATGGCTGACATGCCATGATGGCTTGCAAATGTTGAGTGCAACACGTAACCAAAGCATGTTGATTGTGCTAGCGTAGCGACTTCATGAATGCATGTTGATTGTGCTTTTGCTCTGCCCCAAGGCTTTTTGACACTTGTTAAACTCAACAATTACTAGTGTCTGACATGGTCTGCTTAACCAGCATAAAGGGAATTTTCTCCTTTGCAACTTGTATTGCCCCAGTCTGTAGGGTATTTGGATGATTTTTCTTGAAAGGCTTATGCCATGACATAGTCTGAGACGATTTTTTCTAGTGTCTAGATTTTGCAGCGGTATGTCCCTATTTGAACCTCGGAATGACTTGCCCCAACTTCACGAGATTATGAGATAGTCTTGATTTGGGTCAGCACTAACAAATGCTTAAGTTCCTATCTGATTTCACTTTGTTGGAATTTCCATAATGTCAAGTACTGATTTACAGTTAAAATTATTTATTCAGAAATGGTAATTTTAATGCGATACTCATGCAGGTTTTGAAAAGATCATTTATTGGAATAATGTGAAAGTGTGTGACGAGTTGGACCATTAGTCCAAACATATTACTGATTTAGTTGGTGTGAAAGATATAGCAAGAATATGACATCAATGCAAATGATTAGCAAATATGTAGGAGTCAGCTTATACAACCTTGTTGTAGTATGCTTTCAGAATAAACCTCGCCTCAATTAGGTCTTTTGAGGGTCGTAACATGGTCTGGTTCATGGTTATGAAACAAAAGGATATAATGCTCAACATTGATTTTACCCACTCCTTCTTCATGATGAACTCCAGTCCTACATTCAGTTAAATTGACACACGCACTTAGAGCGTGACAACGTAAGAGTGAAGATGGCGATTCAAGATTCATTTGAAATGACAGCCACCTTATTTTTCTTTTGTCACGATGTTAGTGACCTTTGGGACTTTGATATGGTGGTCACTAAATCTTATTTTTTGCTTGAGGATTTGAGGACCTCTTTCTCTTTTAATTTTTCTTTTGATCCCTAATTTTTCTTGGACTGATTTTGTCTTTCAAGTTTACCGAGATTGCCTTGATTTTTGCGTAAGTCACCTTTTTAGGTGTTTGACTTAGCAAGTTTTTTTTTGTTTTTTTTTCTTTTTTGGAAAGGCTTGTGACTGCCAAGTCATTGGTCATTAAAGAACAACTGTCATAACTTTTTAATTTGCATGGTTCCTTTGACGCTTCAAAACGTGTATGAAGAATGTGGAGTCATCCTCCCTCTAATCTTTGCTAAATAGCAGTGTGATAAAGGAAGTGAAATGAATTTTTTTTGTGATTTTTGCAATAAATGAGAAAAGATGAGTGAATACAAATGGAGTAGTTCAAAATATGCATGGTTATTACATTAACACTATCATTAATAAACAACAATGTCTGAAAGCAAATAACACTTAACAAAAAAGAAACTACAAATGCATATAAATGACATGACCTAAAGTTGCCAGCATTTGGGGATTGGGATTTTCTTTCTTGATTCTTCGTTGGGCTAGCATTCTTGTTCATTAAGACCAGTATAATAGCTTTCTTCACACCTATTCTCAACAACTTCTTCCATAACAGAGAATGACGGACCCGCCTGACCAGATGAAAGATTAATGTTGATTTGAAGACCTTGAGGTGTAAATTAGATTAACTAGGACTCAATCAGGTCTTGGACCTTGTTTTTTAGTTGTTTGCAATCTTGAGTTGAATGCCCCATTGTGTCAGCATGATAGCCACATCATGCATTGGCGTCAAAGCCTGGTGGGTGTGGAGGAATCACAGGATCCAAGTACTTCGACACTATTAGTCCACTATTGATCAAATATGGTAGCATGCAACTGTATGGCATTGGCAATGGATCAAAATTCCATTTTGGTCTTTGATTATAGTAACGTTGTTGTTGCGGAGCATGCTGCTGTGTGAATCATTGTAGATGAGGGGGAGCTCTATTGACAGGAAGACATTGACCGTTGTAATACCCTAATTTTTACCCCTAAGATCCCACATGTCATTTGCATCTCATCCCACAAACAAGATCGCAAGCTTTGGTTCTCTTTTGCCTTCCTCTGTAGGTTTATTCTTGAGAAATCACCGGGCATCCTTGTATTCTTGTTTGTTTGATATTTGTTTATGTTTATGTTTATTAACCATTGATTAAAATCCAAAAAGAATGTTTGTTTTTTCTTTACTAACTTTTTCAGGAAGAATTTGGATCAAAGATATCAAATATCAGTCCCTTAGCTCGAGTGAATTTCATCTGAAAAA